GACATTTGGAAGGAGATTGGAAGGGTAGCAGATCCAGGATTTAGGGGAAGAGGGAAGAAGGACTCAAATAGCAAAGAGCCAGGCCAGGCGTGGTAGCTCATGCCTGTAATCCTAGCACTTTGGGAGGCCAAGGTGAGTAGATCACCTGAGGTCAGGAGTTCGAGACCAGCCTGGCCAACATGGTGAAACCCCGTCTCTACTAAAAATACAAAAATTAGGCTCGGTGCTGTGGTACATGTCTGTAATCCCAGCACTTTGAGAGGCCGAGGCAGGTGGATCACGAGGTCAGGAGTTTGAGACCAGCCTGACTAACATGGTTAAACCCTGTCTCAACTAAAAATACAAAAATTAGTTGGTTGTGGTGGCATGTGCCTGTAATCTCAGCTATGCAGGAGGCTGAGGCAGGAGAATCGCTTGAACGTGGGAGGTGGAGGTTGCAGTGAGCCGAGATCATGCCACTGCACTCCAGCCTGGGCGACAGAGCGAGACTTAGTCTCAAAGAAAAGCTAAAGATTGTTGGTCATATTTTTGGTTTTCTGTTGGCATGTAGTGATATCTAATTGTGGTTTAAGTTTGCCTTTCCCTGATGACTAATGATGGTGAGCACCTTTTCGTATGTTTATCGGCCATTTAGGTATCCTCTTTTGTGAATTATCTGTTCAAATCTTTTTTTCTGGTTTTTCTATTGGATTATCTATCTATGTTTATCTTATTATTTATAGGAGTTCCTTACAGTTTCCTTAGTATAAAAGTCCTTTGCTATATATAGGTATTGCAAATATCTCAGAAAAGGCCTTTTGAAATGATTAAAGAGTAGTTTTCCTCTGAATAATATTCCCTTTATTTATTTATTTATTTATTTATTTATATTTTTATTTATTTATTTTTTTGAGACAGAGTTTCGCTCTTGTTACCCAGGCTGGAGTGCAATGGCGCGATCTCGGCTCACCGCAACCTCCGCCTCCTGGGTTCAGGCAATTCTCCTGCCTCAGCCTCCTGAGTAGCTGGGACTACAGGCGCATGCCACCATGCCTGGCTAATTTTTTGTGTTTTTAGTAGAGATGGGGTTTCACCATATTGACCAGGGTGGTCTCGATCTCTTGACCTCATGATCCACCCTTCTTGGCCTCCCAAAGTGCTGGGATTACAGGTGTGAGCCACCGCGCCTGGCCTATTCCCTTTATTTTAAGAAGTATTATCACTTTAATTTTTATCCAACCAATTGAATAGAAGCATGCAATTACAAGGATCGTATCATTTGAGGATGTGGCTGTGCATTTCACTCAGGAGCAGTGAAATTGACTGGATTCTGCTCAGAGAACCCTGTGATGCTAGAGAACTATAGAGAGATATAAAGATGTGATGCCACCGAACTATAGCCATCTGGTCTCTGTGGGTGAGGATGGCTTCCCTGAGTAATGCATGGCACATCCAGTAGAATAACTTTCCATCTCTGATGTGCTTCAATATTTTGACCTCAGGTTCTAGGGATTAAAGATTCTTAATTCCTTCCAACCCGGACAAGGTGTTTGTATTTTCATCTCCCATGTGAAATTTACCCTCATGAATGTGTACTTTCCTAACTTTTGAAGGTACCAAAGCCCACACAGACATGCTCAAGCTTTGTATCATTTTCCGTTACAGGGTATCCTGTGACCAAACCAGATGTGATTGCCTCTTTGGAGGAGGGAGGACGTTGGATCACAGAGAGAGAAGTCCTAAGTTTGAGTTGTACAGATAAGAAGGAAACAAGCAGGCCAGGCACGGTGGCTCATGTTTGTAACCCCAGCACTTCGGAAAGCTGAGGTGGGTGGATCACTTGAGGTCAGGAGTTTGAGACCAGCCTGGCCGACATGGTGAAACCCTGTCTCTACTAAAATTGCAAAAATTAGCCAGGTGTGGTGGCCACACCTGTAGTTCCAGCTTCTTGGGAGGCAGAGACACAAGAATCGCTTGAACCTGGGAGGCGGAGGTTGCAGTGAACCTAGATCACACCTCTGCACTCCAGCCTGGGTGACAGACACCCTGTCTAAAAAAGAAAAAAAAAATGGAAAAAAAAATAAAGAGAAAGAAATGAGCAGATGGGATGTGATGAGAAGGAAACTGCAGTGGGTCGGTGAGGGCTGGACATTTTGAAAGCTCAGAAATATCTTCTTAAAGGATATGAACTTTTGTTGCTAACTGTAAATTGTTAGTTTTGTGAACTATTGTCTCACGGTGATGTGGGAGTGAGATGGTGAAGAGCTAGCCTCACCACAATCTGGCCTCGTCCTTCTGCTTATTCTCTTGGTCACCTCAATTGTTTCCAGCTTTCCTAAAAGGCTCTTTGCATTCTAGTTGAGTCCTTCTCCTTCCAAATCCTGGATCTGCTAGCCTTCTAATCTCCCTTTCCCCTGCTCATGGCTCCCTAAAACTATTTTTACCTTCTCGCCCCAATTTTATTTTTATTTATGTATGTACTTTTGAGACACAGTTTCACTCTGTCACCCAGGCTGGAGTGCAGTGGCATAATCTCAGATGACTGCAACCTCTACCTCCTGGGTTAGAGTGATTCTCATGCTTCAGCCTCCCGAGTAGCTGGGACTACAGGTACATGCCACCACGCCTGGCAAATTTTTTTTTTTTTTTTGTATTATTAGTAGAGACAGGGTTTTGTCACGTTGGCCAGGCTGGTCTTGAACTCCTGACTTCAGATGATCCACCCACCTTGGCCTCCCAGAGTGCTTGGATTAGAGGCATGAGCCACTGTGTCCAGCCTCTCTCCAATTTTAAAGTATTTTTCTTTTTCTTTCTTTCTTTTTTTTTTTTTTGAGATAGAGTTTTGCTTTTGTTGCCCAGGCTGGAGTGCATGATCTCAGCTCACTGCAACCTCTGCCTCTCGGGTTCCTCCAGAGAGGCTGGGATTACAGGCATGCACTGCAACACCCAGCTAATTTTGTATTTTTAGTAGAGACGGGCTTTCTCTGTGTTTGTCAGGCTGGTCTTGAACTCCTGACCTCCGGTGATCTGCCTGACTTGGCTTCCCAAAATGCTGGGATTACAGGCATGAGACACTGTGCCCGGCCTAAAGAATTTTTCTTAAACAATCAAAGTCACTTATATTTATTTTACTTTCCCATTCCAATTTCTATTAGAGCAACTTTTTTTTTTCCTCAAGCTCAGAGTGTAGGAAAGAAATGTACATGGAATTTCTTTCTGACTGGTATGTAAACTTGAAAGAAACATCAATCACACCAGAAGCCTGCTTTTGACAAAGCTGTATTCACAGGGTAGAGTGTGGTTTACTATTGTTCTTTCTAGAAGTCTGGCAAGCTGATAACCAGCTAGAAAGGCTCCTTTTGAGGCCTTGAAGACATAAGGGCTGTCAGTTGGAAGGCAAACCTCACCATACATCTAGGCACAGGTATTAAGGGAAACCCAATTAAATTAATTAAATAAGCATAGTCCTTGGAAATGATACATGGAAAATATGTCTCCAGATTTAATACCAAACTCTCATAGAAAAATTAACAAAATCTACTATTATTAAGAATCTCTATTTTGTCATAATGGAGACTAAGTGCCATACAAGAACCAAAGGGTTTATCAAATGATAGGAAGTTACAGATTTAAGGATAGCCACTAAAGGAATAATAATTAAAAATATATTTTAGGCTGAGTGTGGTGGCTCACACCTGCAATCACAGCACTTTGGGAGGCTGAGGTGGGTGGATTGCCTGAGGCCAGGAGTTCAAAACTAGCCTGCCCAGCATGGTAAAACCCTGTCTCTACTAAATATACAAAAATTAGCTTGGCGTGGTAGTGGGCGCCTGTAATCCCAGCTACTCAGGAGGCTGAGGCAGGAGAATTGGTTGAACACGGGAGGTGGAGGTTGCAGTGAGCCATTGCACTCCAGCCTGGGTGAAAGAGCGAGACTGTGTCTCAAAAAACAAAACAAAAGAAAAAAAAAACTATAAGAAATCAGTACACAAAATGCTGGCACCCTTTATGGACCCACAGGGAGATGTGAGATTTGATTACCTAGGCTGGATGGGGCTGAAGGTAGGTGAAATTCAGCTGGCAGTAAGGAAGGGGGCTCCAGCATTCCTTGGCATGTGGTGGCGGCTAGCTGTTTTCATGATCATCTGTGATTATCTTGGTTGAAATGAACACTTCAAGGCCTCAGGTACTTGAGTAACCACTCCAACCAAAGAGTGCAAAGAACATGAGGGGCTGCTTCCTAATGGGAGTGGCTGCTTCCAAAGGTGCTGGCCATTGCCAAAAATGGCAAGTTCGAATTCCTAAATTCTGTGCTCAAGACACAAACTGAAACTCAGGCATTCTGTAAGAAGAAATTATTACCATGTGTGTCCATTGAATGTTTTGCCTGCATTTCTACTCTGTCACTTGAAACTTCAGACTTTGATCATGAAAGAGGGTGTGGGGACTGGGAGAATGGTGTTATGTGGGAGGATGTGGGGAAAATGTACCTTTAACTCCTAATTCCCACTGAGCTTCCTGTGTAGGCACAATCCTACTGGATTCATTGTCCCTGAAGAGACTACATCTGCCTTAAATAAAGACCCTGTAGTGACTTGAACTGAGAGTGATTCTTTTTAAGGGAAGCCAATTTTCACCTCTCCCTTCCCACTCCTCTATCTCCAAACCTATAACTGTCTTATGTACCAAGCACTTTACACATTTTGCAAATATTAATTCATTTAATCCTTCCAATAACCCCATCAAGTAGTTACTATCATTATCATCCTTATTTAACACATGAGGAAACTGAGGCACAGAGAAATTCAGTATCTCTTTCAAGGCAACACAGCTAGTAGGTGGTAGAGATGGTTTTTGAACCCAGGAGAACATATGCTCTTGATTCACCACACAGTCATTCCTTCCTGCCCCACCCTGAGTGATCTGGTATTTCTTAATTAGAGCTTTGAATGTATGGAGGAAGTGATGGAATGAGGGTGCCTTCAGGCATTGAATAAATGAAGAAAATCAGGCATCAGAGCATCTTTTGCATTATTTATAGATACTACCCTTTATTAAATGCACAAGAGAAAGGAATGAAAGGGAAATAAAACCTGTCTCTTCGAATCTGAGTTATGGATAATTTTTTGGGTCAATTTTCACTTGCATAGCACACCCCTTGAGCCATTCAGATAAATCATGGCCAGAACAGTGCCGCCTCCACGAAGTCCTGGGAAATGAAAGAAAAGGGAGAAGATGGAGTGGACAGGTTGATGGGGTGGCAGTGACATCATCCCTGGCTGCCCATGGTCCAGGCCATCCCCATGAACTTACCAGGCAGACAGCCCATTCTGTGAGGACACGATCTGCTTGGCACACATGATGTCATCCAGGATATGGCGATTGAGCAGGTCTGAAGGGGAGGAGAGGGACATGGTGATCTGGTGCATTGGGGATAGGGTAACCGTGAATGGAGGGCCCAGGGGTTTTGGGTTCCTTGGGGCCTGAAGAACCTAAACCACAATGTTGGCTGATTCCAGATGACATAGATCCTCTTGTCAGCTGGTTATGAATGATCTCAATCACCATGTTAGCTGGTTCTATACAACCTTAACTCATGTTCATTGATCCTGGATGATCTTGTCATGTTGTCTAGTCATGAATAACCCCAACCTCCATGCTATCTGGTCCTGGACAACGCCAACCTCTATTTGAGCTGGCCCTAAATAACCTCAATCTCCATTTTTTTCCTGTCTTGGACAACCTCAGCCACCACTTTGGCCAACACTGAACAACATTAATTGCTATTCTATTTTGTCCTCAGCAACACCAGTCTTATCTGGAACGTTCTGTCATTTCTGCATGAAGGTGATCTGTTTCTGTCTCTAGAACCACACATCTGCTTCTTTCCTCAGGGCCTGGGTAACCTCAACCCCAAATTAGGACAGTCTCTGTCTTTATTCCGCATGGAGATAAGTTTCCTCTTTCCTGAGTCTAAGAAAACTGCAGGGTCCACTCTGTGTGAGAATTGGGAGCTCTGAGCTCTTCTGTCCTAAACAACCCCTCAGTATAGTCTGGGTAGGGATACAGGATGGTGTCTCTAACAGCTTAGGCAACTTTTCTCCTGTTCTCATCATTTTTGTCTTGTTGCAGGAGATTATGGCTTAAATAACCTTGTCCTCCATGTGTGGGAGAGTAGGGCCTGGCAGGGCTTCAGTGTGTCCCCAGTGCTGACTTACCATGACAATCCATGTGGCAGAGGTTCTTGGTGGGTGTAATGCCATTGTCACACCACCAGGCAGAATTCAGTTGGAAAATGCCATATTCACTGCTGCCATCAGGATTGTGGTCCACAAAGGCGGTGTCAAAGCCACTCTCATAGTGAGCCATGCACAGCCCTGGAGCAGGGAGAAGAGAGGCAAGAAATAGGTGTAGAGCCTGGGAATAGGGAAGGATAGGATCAGGGGAGGACAGGGATGGTTGTCATCTCAGTTGTGAGGGTGGTGATCTTGGTTTGGTGTGGTGATGTTGGTGATTCTGGTGGGGGATCAGTGATGGCAGTAGTGATGGTATTCATGGTGGTAACAGCAGTGATGATATTGATTGTAGTGATCATGTTGACGGCAGAGATGGAGGTGATGGTTGTGAAGGCAATAACAGTGGTGACATTAGAGTTAGTTAAACTACTCAGCACAGTCAGTGAGTGAGTGACTGAAGGGATCATGCCCTGACCTGGAGAGGTGATAAAGGACAAGAGGGGGGGCCCTGCGTCTGAATGTGGTGAGTGGCTTAGGGTATGGGCAGGATTTGGGGCAACTGGATTCTCACAGTCTCCAACACTGTAGCCTTTGTAGCCGTTCAGCCCTGCCCTCTCCAGTCTTGTAGCCAGCTCGCAGCGTTCATAAATCTTGGCATCCACAGTGACAACCATCAGTATGGCCAAGGTCACTACCACAGTGCCCCAGGCCTGCATTATGGCACCTGTAAGCCCTTGCAGGTGACTCACTCCAGACTCACCCTGTGGTGTTCGGAATTAGGAGCGATCTGGAACTCTGGGCTCTATGAGCAAATGTCTAAGTCATAGATTCTGGAACACAGAACACAGAAACCTAAATGCCTCCCAACACTGTTGGACTGGAAATTAAAGGCCCCACCTCCCAACCCTGTTGCATTGGGGATGAAGTCTCTGACATCTGAATTTTGGAAGGGACACATTCAAATCATAGCACTCATCCTTGGTAGCTTGTTCACCTCTCTGCCCTTAAAGTGCTGTTCCATCCTAATTTACTGGAATGTGTCCCACATTTCATATTACAAATGGCATATTACATGCAGATTCTTATGCTTGACTGCTTTTTCGCCTTCATTCTCATTCTGTCTTTTGTTCCCGCATTCACTTAACACTGCTTCTCAGCCACTTATATTCACCCACACCAGGCCTCATATTATCGCAATTCCCCATCTACTTAGCATTACCCAAATTCTCACGTCATATTCCTTCTTCATCCCACTCACTCTCGCTCAGACTCATTTCCTATCTTCACCTCTATTTCCTGGCTCTACATCAAATGACTCCCGCTTGCTCACATGACCTGGGGCCTTGCTAACTCCCCCATTCACTCCCTCTCTGCCCCTCCTTCACCTCTTCTCTCAGATGCTGTCCCCGGAACACCACCATTTCCTGGAGCTCTGTCCCTATTACTCCCAAACACTAGCTCAAGTTACCCACATATACTTAGTCTATGTTTGGTCACTGTTCTTTCTGAGTTTTCTCTTCATTGTCTCCATTTACTCTCACTCTGCCTCTCACTGCCTCATTCGTTTAAATCCTTTCCCATTGTAACCCCTATCACCCTCTTCTTGCTCATACTCTGCTCCTGATTCATGCCTGCCATTCTGCCTCCCAGTATTTGCATTCTGTCACACTATGCCTCAGATTCGTTACTTTTGCTCACATCGGGCTCCCCGTGTTTCCTCGCTTTACTCACCCTAGGCCATGTTGCCTTCATCCACTCTCTGCGTCGCAATACCCACCTTCAGCCATCCTCTGCTCTTCACTTTCATTCCCTCTCACTCTGCCCAGCATCACCTCCATTCATGCGCACTCTTCAGCTCATTCACATTTGCTGATTCCCACTGGGATCCCTGTACCCCCACGTTCCTGGGCTAGACTACCCTGATTACCCCCATCTAATCCCAGTCATCTCTAGTCACCCTCCCTCATAGCATCCGCACTCAAACTCGGCCTGCTTCACATTCTACCGCATGTCCATCTCCACTCTTTTATTCTGTCCCTCCTTCACCCTATTCTTCTCTTTCTGTCCCACATTACCCCCATTTACTCTGACTGTATCCCTAAATTCCCCTCTTCATTCATCTTGTGCCTCATAAAACCATCATTCCTTCACACTCTAATCCTTAGTATTCATATCACCTCCAGTCACATTCACCCTCTTTAGTTGTCCTATTCATGCAGAGTTTGCTCCCACTTTCACCTTTTTTCTGCTTAGATCAGGCGTCCCCAAACTACGGCCCGCGGGCCGCATGCGGCCCCCTGAGGCCATTTATCCGGCCTCCCGCCGCACTTCAGGAAGGGGCACCTCTTTCATTGGTGGTCAGTGAGAGGAGCACAGTATGTGGCGGCCCTCCAATGGTCTGAGGGACAGTGAACTGGCCCCCTGTGTAAAAAGTTTGGGGATGCCTGGCTTAGATTGTGGCTCATTTCCAATCATTTACTTAATCTCATCATAATCTCAAATTCATTCATAATTGAATGCACAGTCATTCCCTCACTTTGACCCACATTCACTCCACAATGGTGCTCATTCACCTCCATTCTATTGCCCTTTGCCTCTCTTTGCCCTCATTTGCTCCCAATTTGCCCGTCAGTCACCATTATTCATGCCCCTCGCCCACCAGTCCCATGTGTCTCCTGTTCGCTGACACTCACATTGGCCAACACAGAAGTCTGATGGATTGCTCAAGATTTGATTTGGCTGCACACACCAACCCCGCCACAAACACCAGTAGCTTCAAGAGGAGGGAAGTGGATTCCTCTTTTGGAGGCAGGTAATCCAGGGCCGGTGTGGTGGCTCCAAGGTCACCAAAGACCTGGCTCCTTCTGTTCTGTTGCTCTGTCAACTTCGCCTGCTGGGTCTGGTCCAAAATGACTGCTCACAATTGGGAAGACTTTTGTGGTCTTGATAAAATGTATCTTAAGAGCAATTGTAATGATAACTCACTAGCCACATGGGGGCTTCTCTCATTGTCTTTGGGTGAGAGTGTCATATCGTGCAGATTCTGTGGTGGGACCAGCCACCTGTCAGCTTCTCACACTCCTACACCTAGCCACCTGCTGCTTAGGCTACTGTATGAGGAGGTCACACCTGTAGGGACTGATGGTAGAGGATGTCCAGGACAGAGAGTGCGGGTCCTGGCTCTGCAGCAGCAAAGCTAGCCTCATAACTTGTGCATGCACACTGTGGGCCCTGGGATAGTTTCTGAGGGGCTGTATCACTGGCTAATCTGCCCCCCAATCCCACCAACCCTAAAGGATTTCCTCCTTTGTGTAGATGTGTGTGTACAAGGTGGTTGGAGATGATGCTTAGGGGTGAGACTGTGATGGGCCCTAAAGGTCCAGCCCTTGCTATTTTTTATCTCCTAATGCATTGAGAGAGTGGATAAGTCTTTGTCTTGTCTGCTAGGAAGCTTTCCTTTTTTTTTTTTTTTTAGATGCAGTCTTACTGTGTCACCCAGATTAGAGTGAAGTGGTGTGATCTCGGCTCACTGCAAACTCCACCTCCTGAGTTCAAGCGATTCTCATCCCTCAGCTTCCTGAGTAGCTGCCATCACAGGCGCATGCTACCATGCCTGGCTAATCATTGGTATTTTTAGTAGAGACGGCGTTTCACCATGTTGGACAGGCTGGTCTTGAACTCTTGACCTTAGGTGATCCGCGTATCTCGGCCTCCCAAAGTGCTGGGATTAGAGGTGCGCGCCGCCGCACCCAGCTCAATATATGTGTATTTTTAACGTTAGTATATAATGCTAGATTTCTTCAGACTAGTCTTTACAAATCGGATCCTTCTTACGGCTTCCCATTATGTCCAGAATGAAATATGAGCTCCCTGGCCAAGGAGGTCCTAAAGCACCTGGCCCCTGCCTACACCCCCTACACTTCCAACACACTGACGCCGTCTACTGCAGAAAAAGCAACCTGTTAGCCACCACTTAATACACCCCTTCACCCCTGGTGTGTGCGTCTCACATCGCCGTTTATTTTTCAGCTTGTTTGTGTGCATACCCATCTACCGTCCTTCAAATGCTACAATGTAAACTCCCAGTCCTGGCTACTGGATGAAGCCAGTGGCTTTTCGCTACCTTTTATTCTTGTGCACGCTGAGCAATTTAGCCACGCACCCTGTCTTCCCGTTCATTTACACCTGCAACCCTGTTGCTGCCCTCCAAGTTCAAAGTGAGAAATTGCCACCTGCTAGAATCTTTTCCTTAGTTGGTCACTTCCCCTCCCCGCCCTGCCATAAGAAAATCGGTGTCTGAAGTCTTAGGAAGGCTGGCCTCTGCAGAACTAAGTAAACACCCGTTCAGCGACGTCGTCCCAGAAGCGAAAAGACACGGTGGGCTCGGCCATCTCGCCTCAAGCAGTGACGTCACCAGCACAGCTACCTTCTCTCTGCGCCTGCGCCAAGGCCCCATGTTGGCTATTGGCGGATGGGCGTCTCAAAGGCTCCACTGAGCTTGCGCAGAACCGACCGCTGCAGCCCTTTGGGCTGCGGTGCCAAAGAGTCGGTCCCGAAGCGGAAGTGCTTGTTGGGGCCAGGTTTTGTAACGGTCTTCTCCTCAGCGAGCAGAAAGTCTGTTGTCGAAAGAGTGAGGTTGAGGGGTCAAGTGCTAGGGGTCGTGGGCTGAGTGATGGGGAGTTCTGCGAGATGAGTGAAGTGGGGGTTGGGAGTTGAGTGATGGGGGACCGAGAGGTCAGTGGACGAGGTTCTAGGGGCTTGCTGGTGAACAAAGTTATGGGGGCTAAGCAGGATTGAATGGGGCTTACTAAACTTTGACTTTTACACATTTTCCAGCACAGTGACCTGCGCTAAGGGTTCATGCGCATCCCTCAGGCCCCTCTTTAGACGCGCCCCGCTCCTCCCTCTACCCTCTCCCCTTGCCCAAACCCCGAGGTGGGGGTCTGGTGTGAATGCTCCGGCCGAAGTGAACCTGCACCTGAAGGCCTTTTTCCAGCTCCTGGGCAAGGAGGCCCTGGTGAGGTGAGCAGAAGGAAGGAGAGGCACCTGCAAGGTCTCACCTGACCCTGGGCCTCGCCCAGAGTTGGGGGCCTGGGAAGAGGGTAGATGCGGGGTCTGAGGGAGATGGGACTAAAATGTAACTGGAGTAATAGTTTTAGAGTGTAGTTTTTGGCATTTAACAAATAACATTTGAATTATAGATTAATTCAGAAATAGAGGAAAAGAAAATCAAAAGGAACTAATTTCTCCCCGTTCATTGTTAGACATTTTTGGTGTATAGGAGTATCCCTTTTAAACATTTAACATATAGCTTTAAAATGGATTCCTGCAGTTTTATAACCTACTTTGTTTTCATTTAGAAGTTTAATTCAGGTTAAAATTTTTTTTGTACACCTTTCAAAAATAGTTAAGATACATGTACCACAAAGTGCATAGATACTATGCAGCTCCATATAACGTTTTAAACAGCTTTGTAGCATTTTATCTTTTATATTTCATTATTAATCCATTATGGGTCTTAGAGGATCGTTTTAGTTTGGCATTATTAAAATCAATGCTGAAACGTGGGTACGTACAGAGAAATTATGATGCATGATGATAAATTATTTCCTTAAGGAAAATACCTAGAAATACAATTTCTGGGTCAGTACACAATTTAATACATGTGTATATAAAACCTTTTGTGTTCAAGGTTCACATGAAGAGTGAAGAATACACAGACTGTTAAAACTACATGGTTGCCCAAACTCTTCCAGAGAGCGGTTTCATGGCCAGCTGATGTGAGGGGATAGCTAGGCAGCTAATTCTGGGCACTGAAAGTCTGATGGGGTATTTTCATATGCTCTGCTCTTCTCCGCTTGTTCCAGCTCAGCCATCACACATCTCTGCTTTTTCCCAAGAAGAGCAGGAAATGGCCAAACCCCAGGTAAGTATGTTGTCTGTTTTTTCATCCCTCTGTTTTACTGTGGGTGTGACGAAATATGTGGAAATCCCTGCCACAAAATAGGAAAGTATTTGTAAATAAGGATTAGGATCAGGCAAAATAAGAGACAGCAGATCAAGGCCAAGTTAGAATGTAGAGATGTGCAGGACTTAGGGTGTAACAGATGTTAATGTTGGCCTGTCAGTTTCTCTTTTGAGCCTTCTGGTAGCCAGAGGGAAGCATAACCAGTACCTTGGCTCAGCTTACTCATCAGGAAAGAGCACACTGAGCCTTCAGGGGAAGTCAAGGTTGCCTGGAATTGTGTTTAAAGATATTTCTTTGCCGGGTTTTCATGTGGATAGTGGAATTGTCCTCAACTACAGCCTGGTGATAAATACTTCCCTCCAGATATGTCCTACAGCTTTCTTCAGTGAGCTGGAGACATCATGTCAAAACGTAACTTGGGAATGAAATCTCTTAGGAAACCTGCTTGTCTTTCCAATGATTTTCCTGAAGCAATTTTCTTAGTTGGACTTTGAATTCTCTTTTGCCCAAGAGACAAAAATTTTTCAGATACCTGCAGCCCACCATCTTTTTCTTTCACTTTAAACATTTTCATTTTTTAATTTAACATACAGTGTAATTGATTTTTCTATTAGATTGGTATAACTAATCTATAGGATAGATGGTAGTTTCATCACCCCAAAAAACTCCTTCACACTACTCTGTTAATAGTCATATCCTCCCCAACCTGTAACCTCAGGCAGCAACAGGTCTGTTCTGTGTCACTATAGTTTTATCTTTTCAAGAATGTCATGTAAGTCGGGTGTCATGTGTTATGTAACCTTTTCTTTTTGAGATGATTGATTTACATGCAATTGAAAGTAAAATACAGAGAAATCCCGTGTACTCTTTTCCTAGATTCCCCCAATGATAACATCCTGCAAAACCATAGTACAATATCAAAATCAGGATGTTGTCATTGACACGGTCAAGCACAGAATAGCCCCATCATTGCAAGGATCCCTCAAGTTGTCCTTTATAGCCACAGCCACTGCCCTTCCTCCCCCATACTCATTCCTAAACTCTTGGCAGCTACAAATCTGTTCTCCATTTTGGGAATTTTGTCATTTCAAGAATGTGATACGAATGGATCATACGGTATGTGACCTTTTCAGATTGTTTCTTTTGTTTGTTTCCACTCAGCATAATTCCCTGGAGATTTATCCAAGCTGTGTGTGTCAGTAGTTGTTTCTTTGTTATTCCTGAATAGTAGTCCATGGTATAAATGTACCACAGTGTATCCATTCACCTGTTGAAAGACATATTTGGGTTATTTCCAGTTTTGGGCAGTTATGAGTAGAGCTACTTTAAACAATCATGCACAGGGTTTTGTGTGAACATAGGTTTTCATTTCTGTGGAGTAAATAATGGATTACTGGGTCATATGGTAAGGGTATGTTTAACTTTTTAGGAATCTGCCAAATTATTTTCTAGAGTGGTTGAACCGTTTTTCATTTCTCCCAGCAATGTATGAGTTCCAATTGTTCCGTATTTTTGTCAGTACTTTGTATTGTCAGTATTTTTTATTTAGTCATTTATCTCATAATGATTTTAATTTGCATTTCCTTAATGGTTAAAGATGTTAAGCATCTTTATATATGCTGATTTACTTTTTGTCTGTCCTCTTGATGAGTGTCTATTCAAAAGTTTCTGCCTATTTTTCAATTGGATTTTCTTATTGTTGAGTTTTCAGAGTTCTTTATATATCCTTAGTCAGATATGTGGTTTGTAAATGTTTTCTCCAAGTGTATTGCTTGTCCTTTTCTTCTCATAATGTTGTTTGCAGAGCAAGAATTTTTAATTTGGAAAATTTCCAATTTATGAATCATTTATTTGTGGATCATGCCCTTGGTATCATGTCTATGAACTTTGCCTAACCCTAGGTCATGAAGATTTTCTCCTATTCTATAATTTTATAGTTTTAGATTTTACATTTAGATGATTCCTTTTGCATTATTATTATTATTATTATTATTATTTTTTTTTTTTTTTGAGATGGAGTCTCTCTCTGTTGCCCAGGCTGGAGTGCAGTAGGGTGATCTCGGCTCACTGCAACTTCCACCTCCCCGGTTCAAGTGATTCTCCCGCTATAGTTTCCTGAATAGCTGGGACTACAGGCATGCCCCACCACACCCGGCTAATTTTTATATTCTTAGTAGAGACGGGGTTTCACCATGTTGGCCAGGCTGGTCCCAAACTCCTGATCTCAGGTGATCCACCTGCCTTGGCTTCCCAAAGTGCTGGGATTATAGGCGTGAGCCACTGCTCCCAGCCCTTTTGTATTAGTTTTTGAGTAAGGTATGAGGATTAGATCAAGGTTCATTATTTTGCCTGTGAATTTTCAATTGTTCTAACCCCAATTGTTGAGGAGACTTTCTTTTTTTTCTTTTATTATTTTATTATTTAAAAAATTTTTTTTTGAGATGGAGTCTCGTTCTGTCACCCAGGCTGGAGTGCAGTGGTGGGATCTCGGCTCACTGCAACCTTTACCTCCCAGGTTCAAGCAATTCCCCTGCTTTAGCCTCCTGAGTAGCTGAGACTACAGGCATGTGCCACCATGCCTGGCTAATTTTTGTATTTTTAGTAGAGATGGGGTTTCACCATGTTGGCCAGACTGGTCTTGAACTACTTACCTCAGGTGATCTGCCTGTCTCAGCCTCCCAAAGTGCTGGGATTACAGCTGCGAGCCACTGTGCCTGGCCTTGTTATTTTAAATCGACACATACTAATTATACATATTTATGGGGTACACTGGGATGTTTTGATAAATGTCTACAATGTGTAATTATCAAATCAAGATAATTAGTATCATTTATTATTTCTTTGTATTGAGAACATTCAAAATCTTCTTTTCTAGCTATTTGAAAATATACACTAAATTGCTGTTAATTATGGTCACCCTATGGTGTTGTAGAATGCTAGAACTTAATCTTCCTATCCAGTTGTACTTCTGTATCTGTTAACCAATCTTTGGCTACCCACCCCACCACCCTTCCCTGTCTCTAGTAACCACTGTTGTACTCTTTACTTCTATGAGAACAACTTTTTAAGCTCCTGCATGTGAGTGAGCACATACAGTATTTATTTTTCTGTGCCGGGCTTATTTTACTTAGCATAATGTCCCCCAGGTTCATCCATTGTTACAAATGGCAGAATTTCCTTCTTCTTCTCTTTTTTTTTTTTTTTTTTTTGAGACAGAGTCTTATTTGTTGCCCAGG